TCAGAGGTTGCTAACTGGGTGGAGGATGACGACGGCGTTTCATCATCACAAACCTGATAGAGAAAACAAATGAAAAACGACAATTATTTTAAACAAATCAATTTCATCCCAGGGACCGGGCAACCCTGCTTGAACTAAACGAGCCCATTGTTAACATATTAGCCCGGTAAGCATGAGGTTCAGATTTGGCTCCCAGCCTTCTCCCCCTACATTCTTTTATCAACTCTACATTCTTCTAGTGGCCTCTTAATAGCAATAGGGAAACCGAATTGGAATTTTGGACCCTCGGCCCCTATCTATGAGGACAACCAGAAATCCCCTTAACCTACTCTTCCGTAATGCACTGCCTCTGTAAAACTTTGCATTTACGATATTACCGCCTTTACGTCTCCGGTTTTCGAACTTTGGAAAGCTCTGGCTTTCTCAACATTTGTCCCTGAAGTAAGACCAGGCTGAAAATTCAGACACGGGCGAGTTTTACAGCTCCCCTTTGAGCACAGATATCGCTCAGATTCCGCATGAATAGTAATCTTCTGGCGCTCACGCTAGAAAGACATTTGGTTGGGCCCGACAGGGCTTGACGTGAAGGCTGGCTTGACGCTCCAGCGCCAAAATCATGACAAACTATGGGTTCGGGAGCCCAACGATGAGCAGGAAACATATTCATGCAAAATGACATGGTATTTGTGCTCTGGGAATGGAATCAAACCTTGAAAAATGGGCAGCAGCGGGGAAATCCCACCTCTTCGGAAAGCTTCCCTTAAAGCTTTCCACCCTGGGCAATGCTACCAAATGGCCAACGACAGAGCAGAACGCTCCCCATAGCTGAGAATAAAGTGGCTATGAGGATGTAAAAAAGTAAATGAAACATTATTTATAGGCGTCCTTCTGCAAAAAAGAACGTCTTTCTGCCCCCCCCCCGTGTCCCACCTCAACGAAAGTATCGTTTCTTTCGACGTGAAACACAAAACCCCGCGTCCCACCATAACGAAAAGCGTTGGTTCTGTTCGACGTGAAACAAAAGACTGTTGACATAAATGAACTGCTTCAAGAACGTACCACAACTTCATTGTCATCATCTTCGCTACCATCAGAATCCTCATCGTCAGTAGGATAATAATTTTCTTGAACACGTTCCTTTTGATGAATAGTTGCAGGAAGTTTTACTTTCGATGAGCACACCTTTATTCTACTTGGAAAACTGTCAACATCGTCATCATTGCTGGTGTGGGCACTGAAACATCAAATGAACCTCCCTAAAAATGACTGATCGATAAACTGCTTTACCTGTTACTGGGGAAATCAAGAATGGGCGGATTCCGCAGGGTCACCTCCACCCTCCGTTCTTGCTCACAAGAAAATGTAAAGGATGATAAAACTTCGAGGAAAAGATGAGCTCGTTATACCCTAGCGCTCATATTCTTAACAGCTAACGCAAGCACGCTCTTCAAGGAAACTGCTGTAAGCTTACTATCATTACCTCTTCGGCCGGCTTAGTGCCAATTTGCTATCGCGGTGAATAGCTGGTCAA